CTGGTGCTGACGATGTTGACACAGGTGCTACTGATGCTGACAATATTGATACAGGTGCTACTGCTGCTGAGAATGTTACTACAAGTGCGAGTGAGGCTGAGAATGTTGACACAGGAGCTACTGCTGCTGCGATTGTTGACACAGGTGCAACTGCTGCTGAGAATATTGACAAGGGTGCTACTACTGCTGAGAATGTTGATACGGGTGCTGCAGCTAAGAACGTTGCTACAGGTGCAACTGGTGCTAAAAATGTTAACACGGAGGCTATTGCTGCTGAGAATGTTGACATGGGTGCTACTGCTGCTGAGAATATTGACAAGGGAGTTATTGCTGCTTAGAATGTGGACACGGCTGTTACTGAGAATGTTGACACGGTTACTACTTATGCTGAGATTGTTAACACAGCTGCTAATAAAAAATGTTGACACGCGTGCTACTTATGCTGAGAATGCTGACACGGGTGCTATTGCTGGTGAGAATGTGGACACGGCATTTACTGGTGCCGAGAATGTTTATACGGGTGCTACTGGTGCTGCGAATGTGGACACGGTTACTACTGCAGCTGAGAATACTGACACTGCTGCTATTGGTGCTGAGAATGTTGACACGGCTGCTACTGGGGCTGAGATTGTTAACACGGCTGTTACTGTGGCTGAGAATGTTAACACGGCTGTTACTGGTGCTGACGATGTTGACACGGGTGATACTGCAGCTGCAAATATTGACACGGCTGCTACTTCTGCTGAAAATGTTGACACGGCTGCTACTGTTGCTGAGAATGCTGACACGGCTGCTACTAGTGCTGAAAATGTTGACAAGGTGCTACTGCTGCTGAGAATGTGGACACGGCTGCTACTGCTGCTGAGAATGTTGACATGGGTGCTACTGGTGCTGACGATGTTGACACAGGTGCTACTGCTGCTGAGAATGTTAACACAGGTGCTACTGCTGCTGAAAATGTTGACACGGCTGCTACTGCTGCTGAGAATGTTAACACAGGTGCTACTGCTGCTGAGAATGTTAACACAGGTGCTACTGCTGCTGAAAATGTTAACACGGGTGCTACTGCTGCTGAGAATGTTAACACAGGTGCTACTGCTGCTGAAAATGTTGACACGGCTGCTACTGGTGCTGAGAATGTTTACACGGCTGCTACTGTTACTGAGAATGTGGACACGGATACTACTGCTGCTGAGAATACTGACACTGCTGCTATTGGTGCTGAGAATGTTAACACGGCTGTTATTGGTGCTGACGATGTTGACACGGGTGATACTGCAGGTACAAATATTGACACGGCTGCTACTTCTGATGAAAATGTTGACACGGCTGCTACTGTTGCTGAGAATGTGGACACGGCTGTTACTGCTGCTGAGACTGTTGACATGGGTGCTACTGGTGCTGACGATGTTGACACGGGTACCACTGCTGCTGCGAATATTGACACGGGTGCTACTGTTGCTGAGAATGTTAACACGGGTGTTAGTGCAGCTGAGAATGTTAACACGGGTGCTACTGCTGCTGAGAATGTTGACACGGGTGCTATTACTGCTGAGAATGTTAACACGGGTGCTACTGCTGCTGACAATGTTAACAAGGGTGCTACTGCTGCTGAAAATGTTGACACGCGTGATACTGCTGCTGAGAATGTTGACACGGGTGCTACTGATTCTGATAATGTTAACACGGGTGTTAGTGCAGCTGAGAATGTTGACACGGGTGCTACTGCTACTGAGAATGTTGACACGGGTGCTACTGCTGCTGAGAATGTTGACACGGGTACTACTGCTGCTGAGAATGTTGACACGGGTGCTACTGAGTCTGAGAAGGTTGACACAGGTGGAACTGCTGCTGGGAATGTTAAGACGGGTGCTACTGCTCCTGACGATGTTGACACGGGTGCTACTGTTTCTGAGAAGGTTGACACAGGTGCTACTGCTGCTGGGAATGTTGACACGGGTACTACTGCTGCTGAGAATGTTACTACAAGTGCTAGTGAGGCTGAGAATGTTGACATGGGTGCTACTGCTGCTGAGAATGTTGACACGGGTGATACTGCTGCTGAGAATGATGACACGGGTGCTATTGCTGCTGAGAATGTGGACACGGCTGCTACTGAGAATGTTGATACAGGAGCTACTGCTGCTGCGAATGATGACACGGGTGCTACTGCTGCTGAGAATATTGACACGAGTGCTACTACTGCTGAGAATATTGATACGGGTGCTGCTGCTAAGAACGTTGCTAGAGGTGCAACTGATGCTAAGAATGTTAACACGGGTGCTATTGCTGCTGAGAATGTTGACACGGGTGCTACTGCCGCTGAGAATGTTGACAAGGGAGTTATTGATGCTTAGAATGTGGACACGGCTGTTACTGAGAATGTTGGCACGGGTGCTACTTATGCTGAGAATGTTGACACAGCTGCTAATAAGAAATGTTGACACGGGTGGTACTTATGCTGAGAATGCTGACACGGGTGCTATTGCTGGTGAGAATGTGGACACGGCATTTACTGGTGCTGAGAATGTTTTTTTCGGGTGCTACTGGTGCTGAAAATGTGGACACGGTTACTACTGCTGCTGAGAATACTGACACTGCTGCTATTGGTGCTGAGAATGTTGTCACGGCTGCTACTGGGGCTGAGATTGGTAACACGGCTGTTACTGTGGCTGAGAATGTTAACACGGCTGTTACTGGTGCTGACGATGTTGACATGGGTGATACTGCAGCTGCAAATATTGACACGGCTGCTACTTCTGCTGAAAATGTTGACACGGCTGCTACTGTTGCTGAGAATGCTGACACGGCTGCTACTAGTGCTGAGAATGTTGACACATGTGCTACTGCTGCTGAGAATGTGGACACGGCTGTTACTGCTGCTGAGACTGTTGACATGGGTGCTACTGGTGCTGACGATGTTGACACGGGTACCACTGCTGCTGCGAATATTGACACGGGTGCTACTGTTGCTGAGAATGTTAACACGGGTGTTAGTGCAGCTGAGAATGTTAACACGGGTGCTACTGCTGCTGAGAATGTTGACACGGGTGCTATTACTGCTGAGAATGTTAACACGGGTGCTACTGCTGCTGACAATGTTAACAAGGGTGCTAGCTGGTTGCGTGATACTGCTGCTGAGAATGTTGACACGGGTGCTACTGATTCTGATAATGTTAACACGGGTGTTAGTGCAGCTGAGAATGTTGACACGGGTGCTACTGCTACTGAGAATGTTGACACGGGTGCTACTGCTGCTGAAAATGTTGACACGGGTACTACTGCTGCTGAGAATGTTGACACGGGTGCTACTGAGTCTGAGAAGGTTGACACAGGTGGAACTGCTGCTGGGAATGTTAAGACGGGTGCTACTGCTCCTGACGATGTTGACACGGGTGCTACTGTTTCTGAGAAGGTTGACACAGGTGCTACTGCTGCTGGGAATGTTGACACGGGTACTACTGCTGCTGAGAATGTTACTACAAGTGCTAGTGAGGCTGAGAATGTTGACATGGGTGCTACTGCTGCTGAGAATGTTGACACGGGTGATACTGCTGCTGAGAATGATGACACGGGTGCTATTGCTGCTGAGAATGTGGACACGGCTGCTACTGAGAATGTTGATACAGGAGCTACTGCTGCTGCGAATGATGACACGGGTGCTACTGCTGCTGAGAATATTGACACGAGTGCTACTACTGCTGAGAATATTGATACGGGTGCTGCTGCTAAGAACGTTGCTAGAGGTGCAACTGATGCTAAGAATGTTAACACGGGTGCTATTGCTGCTGAGAATGTTGACACGGGTGCTACTGCCGCTGAGAATGTTGACAAGGGAGTTATTGATGCTTAGAATGTGGACACGGCTGTTACTGAGAATGTTGGCACGGGTGCTACTTATGCTGAGAATGTTGACACAGCTGCTAATAAGAAATGTTGACACGGGTGGTACTTATGCTGAGAATGCTGACACGGGTGCTATTGCTGGTGAGAATGTGGACACGGCATTTACTGGTGCTGAGAATGTTTTTTTCGGGTGCTACTGGTGCTGAAAATGTGGACACGGTTACTACTGCTGCTGAGAATACTGACACTGCTGCTATTGGTGCTGAGAATGTTGTCACGGCTGCTACTGGGGCTGAGATTGGTAACACGGCTGTTACTGTGGCTGAGAATGTTAACACGGCTGTTACTGGTGCTGACGATGTTGACATGGGTGATACTGCAGCGGCAAATATTGACACGGCTGCTACTTCTGCTGAAAATGTTGACACGGCTGCTACTGTTGCTGAGAATGCTGACACGGCTGCTACTAGTGCTGAGAATGTTGACACATGTGCTACTGCTGCTGAGAATGTGGACACGGCTGCAACTGCTGCTGAGAATATTGACATTGGTGCTACTGGTGCTGACGATGTTGACACAGGTGCTACTGCTGCTGAGAATGTTAACACGGGTGCTACTGCTACTGAAAATGTTGACACGGCTGCTACTGGTGCTGAGAATGTTTACACGGCATGCTACTGTTGCTGAGAATGTTAACACGGGTGCTACTGCTGCTGAGAATGTTGACACGGATGCTACTGGGGTTGAGATTGTTAACATGGCTGTTACTGGGGCTGAGAATGTTAACACGGCTGTTACTGGTGCTGACGATGTTGACACGGGTGATACTGCAGCTACAAATATTGACACGGCTGCTACTTCTGCTGAAAATGTTGAAACGGCTGCTACTGTTGCTGAGAATGTGGACACGGCTGCTACTGCTGCTGAGACTGTTGACATGGGTGCTACTGGTGCTGACGATGATGACACGGGTACCACTGCTGCTGCGAATATTGACACGGGTGCTACTGTTGCTGAGAATGTTAACACGGGTGCTACTGCTGCTGAGAATGTTGAGATGGGTGCTACTGCTGCTGAGAATGTTAACGCGGGTGCTACTGCTGCTGAGAATGTTGACACGGATGCTATTGCTGCTGAGAATGTTAACACGGGTGATACTGCTGCTGACAATGTTAACACGGGTGCTACTGCTGCTGAAAAGTTGACACGGGTGCTACTGCTGCTGAGAATGTTGACACGGGTGCTACTGCTGCTGATAATGTTAACACGGGTTCTACTGTTGCTGAGAATGTTGACATGGGAGCTACTGGTGCTGAGAATGTTGACACGGGTGTTAGTGCAGCTGAGAATGTTGACACGGGTGCTACTGCTACTGAGAATGTTGACACGGGTGCTACTGCTGCTGAAAAATGTTGACACGGGTGCTACTGCTGCTGAGAATGTTGACACGGGTGCTACTGAGTCTGAGAAGGTTGACACAGGTGGAACTGCTGCTGGGAATGTTAAGACGGGTGCTACTGCTGCTGACGATGTTGACACGGGTGCTACTGTTTCTGAGAAGGTTGACACAGGTGCTACTGCATCTGCGAATGTTGACACGGGTACTACTGCTGCTGAGAATGGTACTACAAGGGCTAGTGAGGCTGAGAATGTTGACATGGGTGATACTGCTGCTGAGAATGTTGACCCGGGTGCTACTTATGCTGAGAATGTTGACACGGGTGCTATTGCTGGCGAGAATGTGGACACGGCTGTTACTAGTTCTGGGAATGTTGACACAGGTGCTACTGGTGCTGAGAATGTAGACACAAGAGCTACTGCTTCTGAGAATGTTGACACGGGTGCTACTGTTGCTGGGAATGTTGACACGGGTGCTACTGCTGCTGCGAATATTGACATGGGTGCTACTGTTGCTGAGAATGTTGACACGGGTGCTACTGTTGCTGACGATGTTGACACGGGTGCTACTGCTGCTGAGAATGTTGACACGGGTGCTACTGCTGCTGAGAATGTTGACACGGGTGCTACTGTTGCTGAGAATGTGGACACGGTTACTACTGCTGCTGAGAATATTGACACTGCTGCTATTGGTGTTGAGAATGTTGACACAGCTGCTACTGGGGCTGAGAATGTTAACACGGCAATTACTGGGCCTGAGAATGTTAACACGGCTGTTACTGGTGCTGACGATGTTGACACGGTTGCTACTGATGCTGAGAATATTGACACGGAATGCTACTGTTGCTGAGAATGTGGACACGGTTACTACTGCTGCTGAGAATATTGACACTGCTGCGATTGGTGCTGAGAATGTTGACACAGCTGCTACTGGGGCTGAGAATGTTAACACGGTTATTACTGGGCCTGAGAATGTTTACATGGCCGTTACTGGTGCTGACGATGTTGACACGGCTGGTACTGTTGCTGAGAATGCTGACACGGCTGCTACTAGTGCTGAGAATGTTGACACAGGTGCTACTGGTACTGAGAATGTGGACACGGCTGCTACTGCTGCTGAGAATGTAGACATGGGTGCTACTGGTGCTGACGATGTTGACACGGGTGCTACTACTGCTGCGAATATTGAATCGGGTGCTACTGTTGCTGAGAATGTTAACCCGGGAGCTACTGCTGCTGAGAATGTTAACACGGGTGCTACTGCTGCTGCGAATGTTGACACGGGTGCTACTGCTGCTGAGAATTTTAACACGGGTGCTACTGCTGCTGAGAATGTTGACACGGGTGCTACTGCAGCTGAAAATGTTGACACGGGTGCTACTGCTGCTGATAATGTTAACACGGGTTCTACTGTTGCTGAGAATGTTAACATGGGTGCTACTGTTGCTGAGAATGTTGACACGGGTGTTAGTGCAGCTAAGAATGTTGACACGGGTGCTACTGAGAATTTTGACACGGGTGCTACTGCTGCTCAGAATGTTGACACGGCTGATACTGCTGCTGAGAATGTTGACACGGGTGCTACTGCTGTTGAGAATGTTAACACGGGTACTATTGCTGCTGACGATGTTGACACGAGTGCTACTGTTTCTGAAAATGTTGACACGGGTGCTACTGCTGCTGAGAAGTTGACACGGGTGCTACTGAGTCTGATAGGTTGACACAGGTGCTGATACTGCTGCTGAGAATGTTGACACGGGTGCTACTGCTGCTGAGAAAGTTGCTACAGGTGCTACTGAGCCTGAGAATGTTGACACGGGTGCTACAGATGCTGAGAATGTTTTCACGGGTGCTACTGCTGCTGAGAATGTGGACACGGCTGCTACTGAGAATGTTGACACAAGAGCTACTGCTGCTGAAAATGTTGACACGGCTGCTACTGTTGCTGAGAATATTGACACGGGTGCTACTACTGCTGAGAATGTTGATACGGGTGATACTGCTGCTCAGAATGTTGACACGGGTGCTACTGCTGCTGAGAATGTTGACACGGGTGTTACTGTTTCTGAGAATGTCGAAACGGGTGCTATTGCTGCTGAAAATGTGGACACGGCTGCTACTGAGAATGTTGACACAAGAGCTACTGCTGCTGCGAATGTTGACACTGGTGCTACTACTGCTTAGAATATTGACACGGGTGCTACTACTGCTGAGAATGTTGATACGGTGCTGCTGCTAAGAACATTGCTACAGGTGCAACTGGTGCTGAGAATATTGATTGGGTGCTACTCCTGCTGAGAATGTTAACAAGGGAGTTATTGCTGCTTAGAATGTGGACACGGCTGTTACTGAGAATGTTGACACGGTTGCTACTTACGCTGAGAATGTTAACACAGCTGCTAATAAGAAATGTTGACACGGGTGCTACTTATGCTGAGAATGCTGACACGGGTGCTATTGCTGGTGAGAATGTGTACACGGCATTTACTGGTGCTGAGAATGTTGACACGGGTGCTACTGCTGCTGAGAATGTGGACACGGTTACTACTGCTGCTGAGGTATACTGACACTGCTGCTATTGCTACTGAGAATGTTAACACGGCTGGTACTGGGGCTGAGATTGTTAACACGGCTGTTACTGTGGCTGAGAATGTTAACACGGCTGTTACTGGTGCTGACGATGTTGACACGGGTGATACTGCAGCTGCAAATATTGACACGGCTGCTACTTCTGCTGAAAATGTTGACACGGCTGCTACTGTTGCTGAGAATGCGGACACGGCTGCTACTAGTTGCTGAGAATGTTGACACAGGTGCTACTGGTGCTGAGAATGTGGACACCGCTGCTACTGCTGCTGAGAATGTTGACATGTGTGCCACTGGTGCTGACGATGTTGACACGGGTGCTACTGCTGCTGAGAATGTTAACACAGGTGCTACTGCTGCTGAGAATGTTGACACGGGTGCTACTGCAGCTGAAAATGTTGACACGGGTGCTACTGCTGCTGATAATGTTAACACGGGTTCTACTGTTGCTGAGAATGTTGACATGGGTGCTACTGTTGCTGAGAATGTTGACACGGGTGTTAGTGCAGCTAAGAATGTTGACACGGGTGCTACTGAGAATTTTGACACGGGTGCTACTGCTGCTCAGAATGTTGACACGGCTGATACTGCTGCTGAGAATGTTGACACGGGTGCTACTGCTGTTGAGAATGTTAACACGGGTACTATTGCTGCTGACGATGTTGACACGAGTGCTACTGTTTCTGAAAATGTTGACACGGGTGCTACTGCTGCTGAGAAAGTTGACACGGGTGCTACTGAGTCTGAGAAGGTTGACACAGGTGCTACTACTGCTGAGAATGTTGACACGGGTGCTACTGCTGCTGAGAAAGTTGCTACAGGTGCTACTGAGCCTGAGAATGTTGACACGGGTGCTACAGATGCTGAGAATGTTTTCACGGGTGCTACTGCTGCTGAGAATGTGGACACGGCTGCTACTGAGAATGTTGACACAAGAGCTACTGCTGCTGAAAATGTTGACACGGCTGCTACTGTTGCTGAGAATATTGACACGGGTGCTACTACTGCTGAGAATGTTGATACGGGTGATACTGCTGCTCAGAATGTTGACACGGGTGCTACTGCTGCTGAGAATGTTGACACGGGTGTTACTGTTTCTGAGAATGTCGAAACGGGTGCTATTGCTGCTGAAAATGTGGACACGGCTGCTACTGAGAATGTTGACACAAGAGCTACTGCTGCTGCGAATGTTGACACTGGTGCTACTACTGCTTAGAATATTGACACGGGTGCTACTACTGCTGAGAATGTTGATACGGTGCTGCTGCTAAGAACATTGCTACAGGTGCAACTGGTGCTGAGAATATTGATTGGGTGCTACTCCTGCTGAGAATGTTAACAAGGGAGTTATTGCTGCTTAGAATGTGGACACGGCTGTTACTGAGAATGTTGACACGGTTGCTACTTACGCTGAGAATGTTAACACAGCTGCTAATAAGAAATGTTGACACGGGTGCTACTTATGCTGAGAATGCTGACACGGGTGCTATTGCTGGTGAGAATGTGTACACGGCATTTACTGGTGCTGAGAATGTTGACACGGGTGCTACTGCTGCTGAGAATGTGGACACGGTTACTACTGCTGCTGAGGTATACTGACACTACTGCTATTGCTACTGAGAATGTTAACACGGCTGGTACTGGGGCTGAGATTGTTAACACGGCTGTTACTGTGGCTGAGAATGTTAACACGGCTGTTACTGGTGCTGACGATGTTGACACGGGTGATACTGCAGCTGCAAATATTGACACGGCTGCTACTTCTGCTGAAAATGTTGACACGGCTGCTACTGTTGCTGAGAATGCGGACACGGCTGCTACTAGTTGCTGAGAATGTTGACACAGGTGCTACTGGTGCTGAGAATGTGGACACCGCTGCTACTGCTGCTGAGAATGTTGACATGTGTGCTACTGGTGCTGACGATGTTGACACGGGTGCTACTGCTGCTGAGAATGTTAACACAGGTGCTACTGCTGCTGAAAATGTTGACAAGGCTGCTACTGGTGCTGAGAATGTTTACACGGCTGCTACTGTTGCTGAGAATGTGGACACGGTTACTACTGCTGCTGAGAATACTGACACTGCTGCTATTGGTGCTGAGAATGTTGACACGGCTGCTACTGGGACTGAGATTGTTAACACGGCTGTTACTGGGGCTGAGAATGTTAACACGGCTGTTACTGTTGCTGACGATGTTGACACGGGTGATACTGCAGCTACAAATATTGACACGGCTGCTACTTCTACTGAAAATGTTGACACAGGTGCTACTGTTGCTGAGAATGCTGACACGGCTGCTACTAATGCTGAGAATGTTGACACAGGTGCTACTGGTGCTGAGAATGTGGACACGGCTGCCACTGCTGCTGAGACTGTTGACATGGGTGCTACTGGTGCTGACGATGTTGGCACGGGTACCACTGCTGCTGCGAATATTTACACGGGTGCTACTGTTGCTGAGAATGTTAACACGGGTGCTACTGCTGCTGAGAATGTTGAGACGGGTGCTACTGCTGCTGAGAATGTTAACACGGGTGCTACTGCTGTTGAGAATGTTGACACGGGTGCTATTGCTGCTGAGAATGTTAAGACGGGTGCTACTGCTGCTGACAATATTAACACGGGTTACTGCTGCTGAGAAAATGTTGACACGGGTGCTACTGCTGCTGAAAATGTTACTGCGACTGCTGCTGAGAATGTTGACACGGGTGCTATTGCTGCTGAGAATGTTAACACGGGTGCTACTGCTGCTGACAATGTTAACACGGGTGCTACTGCTGCTGAAAATGTTGACACGGGTGCTACTGCTGCTGAGAATGTTGAAACCGGTGCTACTGGTGCTGAGAATGTTGACACGGCATTTACTGGTGCTGAGAATGTTGACACGGGTGCTACTTTGCTGGCACGGCTGCCAGAATGTTGACACGGGTGCTACTGCTGCTGAAAAAGTTGCTACAGGTGCTACTGAGCCTGAGAATGTTGACACGGGTGCTACTGATGCTGAGAATGTTTTCACGGGTGCTACTGCTGCTGAGAATGTGGACACGGCTGCTACTGAGAATGTTGACACAAGAGCTACTGCTGCTGCGAATGTTGACACGGGTGCTACTGCTGCTGAGAATATTGACACGGGTGCTACTACTGCTGAGAATGTTGATACGGGTCCTGCTGCTAAGAACGTTGCTGCAGGTGCAACTTGTGCTTAGAATGTTAACACGGGTGCTATTGCTGCTGAGAATGTTGACACGGGTGCTACTGCTGCTGAGAATGTTGACAAGGGAGTTAATGCTGCTTAGAATGTGGACACGGCTGTTACTGAGAATGTTGACACGGGTGCAACTTATGCTGAGAATGTTGACACAGCTGCTAATAAGAAATGTTGACACGGGTTCTACTTATGCTGAGAATGTTGACACGGCTGCTATTGCTGGTGAGAATGTGGACACGGCATTTACTGGTGCTGAGAATGTTGACACGGGTGCTACTGGTGCTGAGAATGTTGACACGGCTGCTACTGGTGCTGAGAATGTTTACACGGCTGCTACTGCTGTTGAGAATGTTGACACGGATGCTACTGGGGTTGAGATTGTTAACATGGCTGTTACTGGGGCTGAGAATGTTAACACGGCTGTTACTGGTGCTGACGATGTTGACACGGGTGATACTGCAGCTACAAATATTGACACGGCTGCTACTTCTGCTGAAAATGTTGAAACGGCTGCTACTGTTGCTGAGAATGTGGACACGGCTGCTACTGCTGCTGAGACTGTTGACATGGGTGCTACTGGTGCTGACGATGTTGACACGGGTACCACTGCTGCTGCGAATATTGACACGGGTGCTACTGTTGCTGAGAATGTTAACACGGGTGTTAGTGCAGCTGAGAATGTTAACACGGGTGCTACTGCTGCTGAGAATGTTGACACGGGTGCTATTACTGCTGAGAATGTTAACACGGGTGCTACTGCTGCTGACAATGTTAACAAGGGTGCTACTGCTGCTGAGAATGTTGACACGGGTGCTACTGATTCTGATAATGTTAACACGGGTGTTAGTGCAGCTGAGAATGTTGACACGGGTGCTACTGCTACTGAGAATGTTGACACGGGTGCTACTGCTGCTGAAAATGTTGACACGGGTACTACTGCTGCTGAGAATGTTGACACGGGTGCTACTGAGTCTGAGAAGGTTGACACAGGTGGAACTGCTGCTGGGAATGTTAAGACGGGTGCTACTGCTCCTGACGATGTTGACACGAGTGCTACTGTTTCTGAGAAGGTTGACACAGGTGCTACTGCTGCTAGGAATGTTGACACGGGTACTACTGCTGCTGAGAATGTTACTACAAGTGCTAGTGAGGCTGAGAATGTTGACATGGGTGCTACTGCTGCTGAGAATGTTGACACGGGTGTTACTGCTGCTGAGAATGATGACACGGGTGCTATTGCTGCTGAGAATGTGGACACGGCTGCTACTGAGAATGTTGACACAGGAGCTACTGCTGCTGCGAATGATGACACGGGTGCTACTGCTGCTGAGAATATTGACACGAGTGCTACTACTGCTGAGAATATTGATACGGGTGCTGCTGCTAAGAACGTTGCTAGAGGTGCAACTGATGCTAAGAATGTTAACACGGGTGCTATTGCTGCTGAGAATGTTGACACGGGTGCTACTGCCGCTGAGAATGTTGACAAGGGAGTTATTGATGCTTAGAATGTGGACACGGCTGTTACTGAGAATGTTGGCACGGGTGCTACTTATGCTGAGAATGTTGACACAGCTGCTAATAAGAAATGTTGACACGGGTGGTACTTATGCTGAGAATGCTGACACGGGTGCTATTGCTGGTGAGAATGTGGACACGGCATTTACTGGTGCTGAGAATGTTTTTTACGGGTGCTACTGGTGCTGAAAATGTGGACACGGTTACTACTGCTGCTGAGAATACTGACACTGCTGCTATTGGTGCTGAGAATGTTGTCACGGCTGCTACTGGGGCTGAGATTGGTAACACGGCTGTTACTGTGGCTGAGAATGTTAACACGGCTGTTACTGGTGCTGACGATGTTGACATGGGTGATACTGCAGCTGCAAATATTGACACGGCTGCTACTTCTGCTGAAAATGTTGACACGGCTGCTACTGTTGCTGAGAATGCTGACACGGCTGCTACTAGTGCTGAGAATGTTGACACATGTGCTACTGCTGCTGAGAATGTGGACACGGCTGCAACTGCTGCTGAGAATATTGACATTGGTGCTACTGGTGCTGACGATGTTGACACAGGTGCTACTGCTGCTGAGAATGTTAACACGGGTGCTACTGCTACTGAAAATGTTGACACGGCTGCTACTGGTGCTGAGAATGTTTACACGGCATGCTACTGTTGCTGAGAATGTTAACACGGGTGCTACTGCTGCTGAGAATGTTGACACGGATGCTACTGGGGTTGAGATTGTTAACATGGCTGTTACTGGGGCTGAGAATGTTAACACGGCTGTTACTGGTGCTGACGATGTTGACACGGGTGATACTGCAGCTACAAATATTGACACGGCTGCTACTTCTGCTGAAAATGTTGAAACGGCTGCTACTGTTGCTGAGAATGTGGACACGGCTGCTACTGCTGCTGAGACTGTTGACATGGGTGCTACTGGTGCTGACGATGTTGACACGGGTACCACTGCTGCTGCGAATATTGACACGGGTGCTACTGTTGCTGAGAATGTTAACACGGGTGCTACTGCTGCTGAGAATGTTGAGATGGGTGCTACTGCTGCTGAGAATGTTAACGCGGGTGCTACTGCTGCTGAGAATGTTGACACGGATGCTATTGCTGCTGAGAATGTTAACACGGGTGATACTGCTGCTGACAATGTTAACACGGGTGCTACTGCTGCTGAAAAGTTGACACGGGTGCTACTGCTGCTGAGAATGTTGACACGGGTGCTACTGCTGCTGATAATGTTAACACGGGTTCTACTGTTGCTGAGAATGTTGACATGGGAGCTACTGGTGCTGAGAATGTTGACACGGGTGTTAGTGCAGCTGAGAATGTTGACACGGGTGCTACTGCTACTGAGAATGTTGACACGGGTGCTACTGCTGCTGAGAATGTTAACGCGGGTGCTATGCGCTGGAGAATGCTGACACGGATGCTATTGCTGCTGAGAATGTTAACACGGGTGATACTGCTGCTGACACATGGGTGCTACTGCTGCTGAAAAGCTGACACGGTGCTACTGCTGCTGAGAATGTTGACACGGGTGCTACTGCTGCTGATAATGTTAACACGGGTTCTACTGTTGCTGAGAATGTGACATGGAGACTGAGAATGCTGACACGGGTGTTAGTGGCAGCCGAGAATGTGACACGGTGCTACTGCCACTGAGAATGTTGACACGGGTGCTACTGCTGCTGAAAATGTTGACACGGGTGCTACTGCTGCTGAGAATGTTGACACGGGTGCTACTGAGTCTGAGAAGGTTGACACAGGTGGAACTGCTGCTGGGAATGTTAAGACGGGTGCTACTGCTGCTGACGATGTTGACACGGGTGCTACTGTTTCTGAGAAGGTTGACACAGGTGCTACTGCATCTGAGAATGTTGACACGGGTACTACTGCTGCTGAGAATGTTACTACAAGGGCTAGTGAGGCTGAGAATGTTGACATGGGTGATACTGCTGCTGAGAATGGTGACACGGGTGCTACTGCTTCTGAGAATGTTGACACGGGTGTTAGTGCTGCTGAGAATGATGACACGGGTGCTATTGCTGCTGAGAATGTGGACACGGCTGCAACTGAGAATGTTGACACAGGAGCTACTGCTGCTGCGAATGATGACACGGGTGCTACTGCTGCTGAGAATATTGACACGAGTGCTACTACTGCTGAGAATGTTGATACGGGTGCTGCTGCTAAGAACGTTGTTACAGGTGCAACTGGTGCTAAGAATGTTAACACGGGTGCTATTGCTGCTGAGAATGTTGACACGGGTGCTACTGCTGCTGAGAATGTTGACAAGGGAGTTATTGCTGCTTAGAATGTGGACACGGCTGTTGCTGAGAATGTTGGCACGGGTGCTACTTATGCTGAGAATGTTGACACAGCTGCTAATAAGAAATGTTGACCCGGGTGCTACTTATGCTGAGAATGTTGACACGGGTGCTATTGCTGGCGAGAATGTGGACACGGCTGTTACTAGTTCTGGGAATGTTGACACAGGTGCTACTGGTGCTGAGAATGTAGACACAAGAGCTACTGCTTCTGAGAATGTTGACACGGGTGCTACTGTTGCTGGGAATGTTGACACGGGTGCTACTGCTGCTGCGAATATTGACATGGGTGCTACTGTTGCTGAGAATGTTGACACGGGTGCTACTGTTGCTGACGATGTTGACACGGGTGCTACTGCTGCTGAGAATGTTGACACGGGTGCTACTGCTGCTGAGAATGTTGACACGGGTGCTACTGTTGCTGAGAATGTGGACACGGTTACTACTGCTGCTGAGAATATTGACACTGCTGCTATTGGTGTTGAGAATGTTGACACAGCTGCTACTGGGGCTGAGAATGTTAACACGGCAATTACTGGGCCTGAGAATGTTAACACGGCTGTTACTGGTGCTGACGATGTTGACACGGTTGCTACTGATGCTGAGAATATTGACACGGAATGCTACTGTTGCTGAGAATGTGGACACGGTTACTACTGCTGCTGAGAATATTGACACTGCTGCGATTGGTGCTGAGAATGTTGACACAGCTGCTACTGGGGCTGAGAATGTTAACACGGTTATTACTGGGCCTGAGAATGTTTACATGGCCGTTACTGGTGCTGACGATGTTGACACGGCTGGTACTGTTGCTGAGAATGCTGACACGGCTGCTACTAGTGCTGAGAATGTTGACACAGGTGCTACTGGTACTGAGAATGTGGACACGGCTGCTACTGCTGCTGAGAATGTAGACATGGGTGCTACTGGTGCTGACGATGTTGACACGGGTGCTACTACTGCTGCGAATATTGAATCGGGTGCTACTGTTGCTGAGAATGTTAACCCGGGAGCTACTGCTGCTGAGAATGTTAACACGGGTGCTACTGCTGCTGCGAATGTTGACACGGGTGCTACTGCTGCTGAGAATTTTAACACGGGTGCTACTGCTGCTGAGAATGTTGACACGGGTGCTACTGCAGCTGAAAATGTTGACACGGGTGCTACTGCTGCTGATAATGTTAACACGGGTTCTACTGTTGCTGAGAATGTTAACATGGGTGCTACTGTTGCTGAGAATGTTGACACGGGTGTTAGTGCAGCTAAGAATGTTGACACGGGTGCTACTGAGAATTTTGACACGGGTGCTACTGCTGCTCAGAATGTTGACACGGCTGATACTGCTGCTGAGAATGTTGACACGGGTGCTACTGCTGTTGAGAATGTTAACACGGGTACTATTGCTGCTGACGATGTTGACACGAGTGCTACTGTTTCTGAAAATGTTGACACGGGTGCTACTGCTGCTGAGAAAGTTGACACGGGTGCTACTGAGTCTGAGAAGGTTGACACAGGTGCTACTACTGCTGAGAATGTTGACACGGGTGCTACTGCTGCTGAGAAAGTTGCTACAGGTGCTACTGAGCCTGAGAATGTTGACACGGGTGCTACTGATGCTGAGAATGTTTTCACGGGTGCTACTGCTGCTGAGAATGTGGACACGGCTGCTACTGAGAATGTTGACACAAGAGCTACTGCTGCTGCGAATGTTGACACGGGTGCTACTGCTGCTGAGAATATTGACACGGGTGCTACTACTGCTGAGAATGTTGATACGGGTCCTGCTGCTAAGAACGTTGCTGCAGGTGCAACTTGTGCTTAGAATGTTAACACGGGTGCTATTGCTGCTGAGAATGTTGACACGGGTGCTACTGCTGCTGAGAATGTTGACAAGGGAGTTAATGCTGCTTAGAATGTGGACACGGCTGTTACTGAGAACAACGTTGACACAAGAGCCACTGTTGCCGCGAATGTTGACTGGTGCTACTTCGCTGCTGAGAATATTGACACGGGTGCTACTGCCGAGAATGTTGATACGCGGTGTTGCTGCCAAGAACGTTGCTACAGGTGCAACTGGTGCCGAGAATATTGATTGCGCTACTCCTGCTGAGAATGTTGGGTCAAGGAGTTATTGCTGGCGAATGTGACACGGCTGTTACTGAGAATGTTGACATCGGTTGCTACTTTACGCTGAGAATGTTAAACACAGCTGCTAATAAGAAATGCGTTGACACGGGTGCTACTTTTATGCTGAGAATGCTGACACGGGTGCTATTGCTGGTGAGAATGTGTACACGGCATTTACTGGTGCTGAGAATGTTGACACGGGTGCTACTGCTGCTGAGAATGTGGACACGGTTACTACTGCTGCTGAGGTATACTGACACTGCTGCTATTGCTACTGAGAATGTTAACACGGCTGGTACTGGGGCTGAGATTGTTAACACGGCTGTTACTGTGGCTGAGAATGTTAACACGGCTGTTACTGGTGCTGACGATGTTGACACGGGTGATACTGCAGCTGCAAATATTGACACGGCTGCTACTTCTGCTGAAAATGTTGACACGGCTGCTACTGTTGCTGAGAATGCGGACACGGCTGCTACTAGTTGCTGAGAATGTTGACACAGGTGCTACTGGTGCTGAGAATGTGGACACCGCTGCTACTGCTGCTGAGAATGTTGACATGTGTGCCACTGGTGCTGACGATGTTGACACGGGTGCTACTGCTGCTGAGAATGTTAACACAGGTGCTACTGCTGCTGAGAATGTTGACACGGGTGCTACTGCAGCTGAAAATGTTGACACGGGTGCTACTGCTGCTGATAATGTTAACACGGGTTCTACTGTTGCTGAGAATGTTGACATGGGTGCTACTGTTGCTGAGAATGTTGACACGGGTGTTAGTGCAGCTAAGAATGTTGACACGGGTGCTACTGAGAATTTTGACACGGGTGCTACTGCTGCTCAGAATGTTGACACGGCTGATACTGCTGCTGAGAATGTTGACACGGGTGCTACTGCTGTTGGGAGAATGTTAACACGGGTACTATTAGTTGACGATGTTGACACGAGTGCTACTGTTTCTGGAAAATGCTGACACGGGTGCTACTGCTGCTGAGAAAGTTGGACACGGGTGCCATTGGAGTCTGGAGAAGGTTGACAGGTGCTACCATCAAGCTGAGAATGTTGACACGGGTGCTACTGCTGCTGAGAAAGTTGCTACAGGTGCTACTGAGCCTGAGAATGTTGACACGGGTGCTACAGATGCTGAGAATGTTTTCACGGGTGCTACTGCTGCTGAGAATGTGGACACGGCTGCTACTGAGAATGTTGACACAAGAGCTACTGCTGCTGAAAATGTTGACACGGCTGCTACTGTTGCTGAGAATATTGACACGGGTGCTACTACTGCTGAGAATGTTGATACGGGTGATACTGCTGCTCAGAATGTTGACACGGGTGCTACTGCTGCTGAGAATGTTGACACGGGTGTTACTGTTTCTGAGAATGTCGAAACGGGTGCTATTGCTGCTGAAAATGTGGACACGGCTGCTACTGAGAATGTTGACACAAGAGCTACTGCTGCTGCGAATGTTGACACTGGTGCTACTACTGCTTAGAATATTGACACGGGTGCTACTACTGCTGAGAATGTTGATACGGTGCTGCTGCTAAGAACATTGCTACAGGTGCAACTGGTGCTGAGAATATTGATTGGGTGCTACTCCTGCTGAGAATGTTAACAAGGGAGTTATTGCTGCTTAGAATGTGGACACGGCTGTTACTGAGAATGTTGACACGGTTGCTACTTACGCTGAGAATGTTAACACAGCTGCTAATAAGAAATGTTGACACGGGTGCTACTTATGCTGAGAATGCTGACACGGGTGCTATTGCTGGTGAGAATGTGTACACGGCATTTACTGGTGCTGAGAATGTTGACACGGGTGCTACTGCTGCTGAGAATGTGGACACGGTTACTACTGCTGCTGAGGTATACTGACACTACTGCTATTGCTACTGAGAATGTTAACACGGCTGGTACTGGGGCTGAGATTGTTAACACGGCTGTTACTGTGGCTGAGAATGTTAACACGGCTGTTACTGGTGCTGACGATGTTGACACGGGTGATACTGCAGCTGCAAATATTGACACGGCTGCTACTTCTGCTGAAAATGTTGACACGGCTGCTACTGTTGCTGAGAATGCGGACACGGCTGCTACTAGTTGCTGAGAATGTTGACACAGGTGCTACTGGTGCTGAGAATGTGGACACCGCTGCTACTGCTGCTGAGAATGTTGACATGTGTGCTACTGGTGCTGACGATGTTGACACGGGTGCTACTGCTGCTGAGAATGTTAACACAGGTGCTACTGCTGCTGAAAATGTTGACAAGGCTGCTACTGGTGCTGAGAATGTTTACACGGCTGCTACTGTTGCTGAGAATGTGGACACGGTTACTACTGCTGCTGAGAATACTGACACTGCTGCTATTGGTGCTGAGAATGTTGACACGGCTGCTACTGGGACTGAGATTGTTAACACGGCTGTTACTGGGGCTGAGAATGTTAACACGGCTGTTACTGTTGCTGACGATGTTGACACGGGTGATACTGCAGCTACAAATATTGACACGGCTGCTACTTCTACTGAAAATGTTGACACAGGTGCTACTGTTGCTGAGAATGCTGACACGGCTGCTACTAGTGCTGAGAATGTTGACACAGGTGCTACTGGTGCTGAGAATGTGGACACGGCTGCCACTGCTGCTGAGACTGTTGACATGGGTGCTACTGGTGCTGACGATGTTGGCACGGGTACCACTGCTGCTGCGAATATTTACACGGGTGCTACTGTTGCTGAGAATGTTAACACGGGTGCTACTGCTGCTGAGAATGTTGAGACGGGTGCTACTGCTGCTGAGAATGTTAACACGGGTGCTACTGCTGTTGAGAATGTTGACACGGGTGCTATTGCTGCTGAGAATGTTAACACGGGTGCTACTGCTGCTATACACGTGCTACTGCTGCTGAAAATGTTAACACGGGTGCGACTGCTGCTGAGAATGTTGACACGGGTGCTATTGCTGCTGAGAATGTTAACACGGGTGCTACTGCTGCTGACAATGTTAACACGGGTGCTACTGCTGCTGAAAATGTTGACACGGGTGCTACTGCTGCTGAGAATGTTGAAACCGGTGCTACTGGTGCTGAGAATGTTGACACGGCATTTACTGGTGCTGAGAATGTTGACACGGGTGCTACTGGTGCTGCGAATGTTGGCACGGCTGCTACTGGTGCTGAGAATCAACACGGGTGCTACTGCTGCTGAAAAAGTTGCTACAGGTGCTACTGAGCCTGAGAATGTTGACACGGGTGCTACTGATGCTGAGAATGTTTTCACGGGTGCTACTGCTGCTGAGAATGTGGACACGGCTGCTACTGAGAATGTTGACACAAGAGCTACTGCTGCTGCGAATGTTGACACGGGTGCTACTGCTGCTGAGAATATTGACACGGGTGCTACTACTGCTGAGAATGTTGATACGGGTCCTGCTGCTAAGAACGTTGCTGCAGGTGCAACTTGTGCTTAGAATGTTAACACGGGTGCTATTGCTGCTGAGAATGTTGACACGGGTGCTACTGCTGCTGAGAATGTTGACAAGGGAGTTAATGCTGCTTAGAATGTGGACACGGCTGTTACTGAGAATGTTGACACGGGTGCAACTTATGCTGAGAATGTTGACACAGCTGCTAATAAGAAATGTTGACACGGGTTCTACTTATGCTGAGAATGTTGACACGGCTGCTATTGCTGGTGAGAATGTGGACACGGCATTTACTGGTGCTGAGAATGTTGACACGGGTGCTACTGGTGCTGAGAATGTTGACACGGCTGCTACTGGTGCTGAGAATGTTTACACGGCTGCTACTGCTGTTGAGAATGTTGACACGGATGCTACTGGGGTTGAGATTGTTAACATGGCTGTTACTGGGGCTGAGAATGTTAACACGGCTGTTACTGGTGCTGACGATGTTGACACGGGTGATACTGCAGCTACAAATATTGACACGGCTGCTACTTCTGCTGAAAATGTTGAAACGGCTGCTACTGTTGCTGAGAATGTGGACACGGCTGCTACTGCTGCTGAGACTGTTGACATGGGTGCTACTGGTGCTGACGATGTTGACACGGGTACCACTGCTGCTGCGAATATTGACACGGGTGCTACTGTTGCTGAGAATGTTAACACGGGTGTTAGTGCAGCTGAGAATGTTAACACGGGTGCTACTGCTGCTGAGAATGTTGACACGGGTGCTATTACTGCTGAGAATGTTAACACGGGTGCTACTGCTGCTGACAATGTTAACAAGGGTGCTACTGCTGCTGAGAATGTTGACACGGGTGCTACTGATTCTGATAATGTTAACACGGGTGTTAGTGCAGCTGAGAATGTTGACACGGGTGCTACTGCTACTGAGAATGTTGACACGGGTGCTACTGCTGCTGAAAATGTTGACACGGGTACTACTGCTGCTGAGAATGTTGACACGGGTGCTACTGAGTCTGAGAAGGTTGACACAGGTGGAACTGCTGCTGGGAATGTTAAGACGGGTGCTACTGCTCCTGACGATGTTGACACGAGTGCTACTGTTTCTGAGAAGGTTGACACAGGTGCTACTGCTGCTAGGAATGTTGACACGGGTACTACTGCTGCTGAGAATGTTACTACAAGTGCTAGTGAGGCTGAGAATGTTGACATGGGTGCTACTGCTGCTGAGAATGTTGACACGGGTGTTACTGCTGCTGAGAATGATGACACGGGTGCTATTGCTGCTGAGAATGTGGACACGGCTGCTACTGAGAATGTTGACACAGGAGCTACTGCTGCTGCGAATGATGACACGGGTGCTACTGCTGCTGAGAATATTGACACGAGTGCTACTACTGCTGAGAATATTGATACGGGTGCTGCTGCTAAGAACGTTGCTAGAGGTGCAACTGATGCTAAGAATGTTAACACGGGTGCTATTGCTGCTGAGAATGTTGACACGGGTGCTACTGCCGCTGAGAATGTTGACAAGGGAGTTATTGATGCTTAGAATGTGGACACGGCTGTTACTGAGAATGTTGGCACGGGTGCTACTTATGCTGAGAATGTTGACACAGCTGCTAATAAGAAATGTTGACACGGGTGGTACTTATGCTGAGAATGCTGACACGGGTGCTATTGCTGGTGAGAATGTGGACACGGCATTTACTGGTGCTGAGAATGTTTTTTTCGGGTGCTACTGGTGCTGAAAATGTGGACACGGTTACTACTGCTGCTGAGAATACTGACACTGCTGCTATTGGTGCTGAGAATGTTGTCACGGCTGCTACTGGGGCTGAGATTGGTAACACGGCTGTTACTGTGGCTGAGAATGTTAACACGGCTGTTACTGGTGCTGACGATGTTGACATGGGTGATACTGCAGCTGCAAATATTGACACGGCTGCTACTTCTGCTGAAAATGTTGACACGGCTGCTACTGTTGCTGAGAATGCTGACACGGCTGCTACTAGTGCTGAGAATGTTGACACATGTGCTACTGCTGCTGAGAATGTGGACACGGCTGCAACTGCTGCTGAGAATATTGACATTGGTGCTACTGGTGCTGACGATGTTGACACAGGTGCTACTGCTGCTGAGAATGTTAACACGGGTGCTACTGCTACTGAAAATGTTGACACGGCTGCTACTGGTGCTGAGAATGTTTACACGGCATGCTACTGTTGCTGAGAATGTTAACACGGGTGCTACTGCTGCTGAGAATGTTGACACGGATGCTACTGGGGTTGAGATTGTTAACATGGCTGTTACTGGGGCTGAGAATGTTAACACGGCTGTTACTGGTGCTGACGATGTTGACACGGGTGATACTGCAGCTACAAATATTGACACGGCTGCTACTTCTGCTGAAAATGTTGAAACGGCTGCTACTGTTGCTGAGAATGTGGACACGGCTGCTACTGCTGCTGAGACTGTTGACATGGGTGCTACTGGTGCTGACGATGCTGACACGGGTACCACTGCTGCGAATATTGACACGGGTGCTACTGTTATGAGAATGTTAACACGGGGCTACTGCTGCTGAGAATGTTGAGATGGGTGGCTGCTGAGAATGTTAACGCTGGTGCTGAGAATGTTGACACGGACGCTATTGCTGCTGAGAATGTTAACACGGTGATACTGCTGCTGACAATGTTAACACGGGTGCTACTGCTGCTGAAAAGTTGACAACTGCTGCTGAGAATGTTGACACGGGTGCTACTGTTGCTGATAATGTTAACACGGGTTCTACTGTTGCTGAGAATGCTGACATGGGAGCCACTGATGCTGAGAATGTTGACGGGTGTTAGTGCAGCTGAGAATGTTGACACGGGTGCTACTGAGAATGTTGAGATGGGTGCTACTGCTGCTGAGAATGTTAACGCGGGTGCTACTGCTGCTGAGAATGTTGACACGGATGCTATTGCTGCTGAGAATGTTAACACGGGTGATACTGCTGCTGACAATGTTAACACGGGTGCTACTGCTGCTGAAAAGTTGACACGGGTGCTACTGCTGCTGAGAATGTTGACACGGGTGCTACTGCTGCTGATAATGTTAACACGGGTTCTACTGTTGCTGAGAATGTTGACATGGGAGCTACTGGTGCTGAGAATGTTGACACGGGTGTTAGTGCAGCTGAGAATGTTGACACGGGTGCTACTGCTACTGAGAATGTTGACACGGGTGCTACTGCTGCTGAGAATGTTGACACGGGTGCTACTGAGTCTGAGAAGGTTGACACAGGTGGAACTGCTGCTGGGAATGTTAAGACGGGTGCTACTGCTGCTGACGATGTTGACACGGGTGCTACTGTTTCTGAGAAGGTTGACACAGGTGCTACTGCATCTGAGAATGTTGACACGGGTACTACTGCTGCTGAGAATGTTACTACAAGGGCTAGTGAGGCTGAGAATGTTGACATGGGTGATACTGCTGCTGAGAATGGTGACACGGGTGCTACTGCTTCTGAGAATGTTGACACGGGTGTTAGTGCTGCTGAGAATGATGACACGGGTGCTATTGCTGCTGAGAATGTGGACACGGCTGCAACTGAGAATGTTGACACAGGAGCTACTGCTGCTGCGAATGATGACACGGGTGCTACTGCTGCTGAGAATATTGACACGAGTGCTACTACTGCTGAGAATGTTGATACGGGTGCTGCTGCTAAGAACGTTGTTACAGGTGCAACTGGTGCTAAGAATGTTAACACGGGTGCTATTGCTGCTGAGAATGTTGACACGGGTGCTACTGCTGCTGAGAATGTTGACAAGGGAGTTATTGCTGCTTAGAATGTGGACACGGCTGTTGCTGAGAATGTTGGCACGGGTGCTACTTATGCTGAGAATGTTGACACAGCTGCTAATAAGAAATGTTGACCCGGGTGCTACTTATGCTGAGAATGTTGACACGGGTGCTATTGCTGGCGAGAATGTGGACACGGCTGTTACTAGTTCTGGGAATGTTGACACAGGTGCTACTGGTGCTGAGAATGTAGACACAAGAGCTACTGCTTCTGAGAATGTTGACACGGGTGCTACTGTTGCTGGGAATGTTGACACGGGTGCTACTGCTGCTGCGAATATTGACATGGGTGCTACTGTTGCTGAGAATGTTGACACGGGTGCTACTGTTGCTGACGATGTTGACACGGGTGCTACTGCTGCTGAGAATGTTGACACGGGTGCTACTGCTGCTGAGAATGTTGACACGGGTGCTACTGTTGCTGAGAATGTGGACACGGTTACTACTGCTGCTGAGAATATTGACACTGCTGCTATTGGTGTTGAGAATGTTGACACAGCTGCTACTGGGGCTGAGAATGTTAACACGGCAGTTACTGGGCCTGAGAATGTTAACACGGCTGTTACTGGTGCTGACGATGTTGACACGGCTGCTACTGATGCTGAGAATATTGACACGGAATGCTACTGTTGCTGAGAATGTGGACACGGTTACTACTGCTGCTGAGAATATTGACACTGCTGCGATTGGTGCTGAGAATGTTGACACAGCTGCTACTGGGGCTGAGAATGTTAACACGGTTATTACTGGGCCTGAGAATGTTTACATGGCCGTTACTGGTGCTGACGATGTTGACACGGCTGGTACTGTTGCTGAGAATGCTGACACGGCTGCTACTAGTGCTGAGAATGTTGACACAGGTGCTACTGATGCTGAGAATGTTGACACGGGTGCTACTGCTGCTGAGAATGTGGACACGGCTGCTACTGAGAATGTTGACACAAGAGCTACTGCTGCTGAAAATGTTGACACGGCTGCTACTGTTGCTGAGAATATTGACACGGGTGCTACTACTGCTGAGAATGTTGATACGGGTGATACTGCTGCTCAGAATGTTGACACGGGTGCTACTGCTGCTGAGAATGTTGACACGGGTGTTACTGTTTCTGAGAATGTCGAAACGGGTGCTATTGCTGCTGAAAATGTGGACACGGCTGCTACTGAGAATGTTGACACAAGAGCTACTGCTGCTGCGAATGTTGACACTGGTGCTACTACTGCTTAGAATATTGACACGGGTGCTACTACTGCTGAGAATGTTGATACGGTGCTGCTGCTAAGAACATTGCTACAGGTGCAACTGGTGCTGAGAATATTGATTGGGTGCTACTCCTGCTGAGAATGTTAACAAGGGAGTTATTGCTGCTTAGAATGTGGACACGGCTGTTACTGAGAATGTTGACACGGTTGCTACTTACGCTGAGAATGTTAACACAGCTGCTAATAAGAAATGTTGACACGGGTGCTACTTATGCTGAGAATGCTGACACGGGTGCTATTGCTGGTGAGAATGTGTACACGGCATTTACTGGTGCTGAGAATGTTGACACGGGTGCTACTGCTGCTGAGAATGTGGACACGGTTACTACTGCTGCTGAGTTATACTGACACTGCTGCTATTGCTGCTGAGAATGTTAACACGGCTGGTACTGGGGCTGAGATTGTTAACACGGCTGTTACTGTGGCTGAGAATGTTAACACGGCTGTTACTGATGCTGACGATGTTGACACGGGTGATACTGCAGCTGCAAATATTGACACGGCTGCTACTTCTGCTGAAAATGTTGACACGGCTGCTACTGTTGCTGAGAATGTGGACACCGCTGCTACTGCTGCTGAGAATGTTGACATGTGTGCTACTGGTGCTGACGATGTTGACACGGGTGCTACTGCTGCTGAGAATGTTAACACAGGTGCTACTGCTGCTGAAAATGTTGACAGGGCTGCTACTGGTGCTGAGAATGTTTACACGGCTGCTACTGTTGCTGAGAATGTGGACACGGTTACTACTGCTGCTGAGAATACTGACACTGCTGCTATTGGTGCTGAGAATGTTGACACGGCTGCTACTGGGACTGAGATTGTTAACACGGCTGTTACTGGGGCTGAGAATGTTAACACGGCTGTTACTGTTGCTGACGATGTTGACACGGGTGATACTGCAGCTACAAATATTGACACGGCTGCTACTTCTACTGAAAATGTTGACACAGGTGCTACTGTTGCTGAGAATGCTGACACGGCTGCTACTAATGCTGAGAATGTTGACACAGGTGCTACTGGTGCTGAGAATGTGGACACGGCTGCCACTGCTGCTGAGACTGTTGACATGGGTGCTACTGGTGCTGACGATGTTGGCACGGGTACCACTGCTGCTGCGAATATTTACACGGGTGCTACTGTTGCTGAGAATGTTAACACGGGTGCTACTGCTGCTGAGAATGTTGAGACGGGTGCTACTGCTGCTGAGAATGTTAACACGGGTGCTACTGCTGTTGAGAATGTTGACACGGGTGCTATTGCTGCTGAGAATGTTAACACGGGTGCTACTGCTGCTGACAATATTAACACGGGTGCTACTGCTGCTGAAAATGTTGACACGGGTGCTACTGCTGCTGAGAATGTTGAAACCGGTGCTACTGGTGCTGAGAATGTTGACACGGACTGGTGCTGAGAATGTTGACACGGGTGCTATTGCTGCTGAGAATGTTAACACGGGTGCTACTGCTGCTGACAATGTTAACACGGGTGCTACTGCTGCTGAAAATGTTGACACGGGTGCTACTGCTGCTGAGAATGTTGAAACCGGTGCTACTGGTGCTGAGAATGTTGACACGGCATTTACTGGTGCTGAGAATGTTGACACGGGTGCTACTGGTGCTGCGAATGTTGGCACGGCTGCTACTGGTGCTGAGAATGTTGACACGGGTGCTACTGCTGCTGAAAAAGTTGCTACAGGTGCTACTGAGCCTGAGAATGTTGACACGGGTGCTACTGATGCTGAGAATGTTTTCACGGGTGCTACTGCTGCTGAGAATGTGGACACGGCTGCTACTGAGAATGTTGACACAAGAGCTACTGCTGCTGCGAATGTTGACACGGGTGCTACTGCTGCTGAGAATATTGACACGGGTGCTACTACTGCTGAGAATGTTGATACGGGTCCTGCTGCTAAGAACGTTGCTGCAGGTGCAACTTGTGCTTAGAATGTTAACACGGGTGCTATTGCTGCTGAGAATGTTGACACGGGTGCTACTGCTGCTGAGAATGTTGACAAGGGAGTTAATGCTGCTTAGAATGTGGACACGGCTGTTACTGAGAATGTTGACACGGGTGCAACTTATGCTGAGAATGTTGACACAGCTGCTAATAAGAAATGTTGACACGGGTTCTACTTATGCTGAGAATGTTGACACGGCTGCTATTGCTGGTGAGAATGTGGACACGGCATTTACTGGTGCTGAGAATGTTGACACGGGTGCTACTGGTACTGAGAATGTTGACACGGCTGCTACTGGTGCTGAGAATGTTGACACGGCTGCTACTGTTGCTGAGAATGTGGACACGGTTACTACTGCTGCTGAGAAAATTGACACTGCTGCTATTGGTGCTGAGAATGTTGACACGGCTGCTACTGGGGTTAAGAATGTTAACATGGCTGTTACGGGGGCTGAGAATGTTAACACGGCTGTTGCTGGTGCTGACGATGTTGACATGGGTGATACTGCTGCTGCGAATATTGACACGGGTCCTACTAGTGCTGAGAATGTTGACACGGCTGCTACTGCTGCTGAAAATGTTGACACGGCTGCTACTGTTGCTGAGAATATGGACACGGCTGCTACTGCTGCTGAGAATGTTGACACGGCTGCTACTGGTGCTGAGAATGTGGACTCGGCTGCTACTGGTGCTGAGAATGTTGACACGGCTGCTACTGGTACTGAGAATGTTGACACAGCTGCTTCTGGTGCTGAGAAGGTTGACACGGCTGCTACTGGTGCTGAGAATGTTGACACGGCTGCTACTGGTGCTGAGAATGTTGATACGGCTGCTACAATATCATGTAAAGCTCGATTATATACAATATTTCCTGTTTTAATCTACGTTTGACATCTATTTGCTTATGTATTACAACAGACCTCTATGAGTATGAGAAAATATCCACCAAGAATTATTTAGTGATATATCAAAAGCAAATTTTTCCCTATAGCGCAGTTCCTCGTCGGAAGTTGTATGTGAAAATTCTCTTGCGGGTAAAGTTTGTGAGAAAGTTGTCAAGTTGGTGTTGGTACCGTGCAGAGTTGTTACCTGAGACCCTGCTAGGAGACACGCCTGATCCGCTTACACTTTCTAACTGAAAGGTGTTAACTATTCAGCTCCTCGTCGGTAGTTCAGAAGGTGTAGGGATATTGGTGATGAGGTGGGGATCATTTAGTAGAGGTGTTGTTAGAATTTGCCAGAGGTACGTTGTATGGCAGGAAAATGGTGTGTGAATCAATAACAAATTGCTTCGTTGGCGAAAGACTTGATGTATGTATAAAACATTAGCTTGTTGTCCTTGCACCATATATTAGTTACCAGACCAGTACCTTCAGCCTTTGTGAGCGGCACAGTGCTGGTCCCATCATTTGTTCATTGGAATTTCAGATGAACTTAAAGCAAATGTGTGCCTTCTTCTAAGAATAACTGATCGGTTTTAACTTTCAATGTTTATCCAGGTTAAGCAGCACATACCCGAGATATTCATAAGACGCAAACTCTTTTTTAAGGCCAAATTCTCCCGGGGTGCTCTCAGGAGGGGGCTTACCACTACTCAGGGCGGATGAACCTGATGATACCTGCACAGGGGGATTACACGGGATTTATTCCAACCCAAATCTTTCAGCATCGAACAAAAGATAAAGCAATGTTTCATAACGCTTGAAAATCAGCTTTTACGAACTAAAGTAACAGTGTATTTTGCCTGGACTCGCGTTCATTCACCTTCTTACTGAGTTAACTGTAAACATTTTCGTTCTGTGATCCATCATAAATACACGGAAGCTGGAGCAGCCTGTGATACTGTGCTCCTCTGATGGATGTACTTAATAATGCCGGTCATCCACACAAGCACTATAGTCAGTGATCTTTGGTCAGGATTCTATTATCCCTTCATGTCTTATACCAGGTGGCTCAGTCTTATCAAGACCAAGACGGAAAACTGTCCTTCCTTTAGAGGCAAGAGAACACAAGATCATAATAACTTTTCACTCCAGGATATAGAGAGAATAAGTGTCTGTCGTGAGTACCTTCCCTCTTCAACACACACACAAACACAAAGGAAATGTTTAACTACTTTAGCTGTGATGTAGTCAATTCTGTATTTCACAAACTCAAAGGCGCTAAAACAAGGAATAAGCTCCACCTGGCACAACAGACGCCTTGGTGGTCAATATCGGCAGCTGTGAGGTAAAGTGGAAGAAAGTTGCTGCTACAGACAGGTGCAGGAGAGTGACGAGACACCTGTATCGGTTAACACCTGCCTCGTCTGATCTGGATATGTTCGTTATTGTGAATATGTTTATTTTCCGACACCACCAGACGGCGCCAACCTCTGCTCTTGCTATCGACACGTACTTTTATAAAACTAATATAAATAATCGCAATCTAACCCCAGAAAAATATGCTGCAATCGATAAGTTTAATGGTCGAGGTGGTGTACACTGCCAGGGGACACAACGATCACAGTAAGTTTAGTGAAATGTTTGACACTTTCTCCAGAAAACCAGTTAAAAGTTCATGATGTGTCGGTCATTGAGGCGGTGTATAAAAAGATCAAAGGTGCAGCCTTGTTACCTGGGGAAATATTCTTTATCCAACTTTACCGGAGTTTAGCTCAGAACTAATGTTGGAGATTACTAGTTGTTGAGGCCATGATTGTATATATATATATATATATATATATATATATATATATATATATATATATATATATATATATATATATGACAAATGTAATTAATCACAACAATGAGTGTATTACTATGAGCGCCTTCACCCCCTCTCCCCATACACAAAAGAACCGAACACGAAAACATTGTAATAACAATTATTAAAATTCATACATATAACATACAGAGCAGTAACTCAGAACCTTATACCAAAGATAAACAAGTACAGTACGTTACACAGTACAGGAAGCTGGGCCACGAGTATTGCTTTACCCCAATAGTATCAGAGACTGTGGGAGCCTGAGGCACCGAGATCCTGAAGTTCCTGAATGAGTTGGGCTCTAGACTTACTGAAACTATCAAAGTGAAATTTTATTACACAAAACTTAAAAAAAAAATTGAAAGGTGCTAAGTTCCTCTGGGTCAAAACAGTCATGGAAAGTGTTAATAAATGTTGGTAGTATTCCCTCACTGTACCGCTATATTACGGTTCAGGAACAGCTTGCTGATCGTCGTTGGATTCCCTGCCACATCAGTGAGCCTGGAACCCATTTCTACCCCAGTGACAAACAGCTTCTGATCCTCTTGGTTTATGGTGGTTTAAATATTCAAATACTTTGTCTTTGGTAATAAAAATTGCCTCTTTATGATCTGCCTCACTACCAAGGTTTGTTACAGTGATAATGAGATGACGTGAGACAAGGCTCAAGTACGTGTGTAATCCCACACTAATTGTCTAGACTAATGAGTCAAGGTTCTCTTAGAGCGGTCACTGGGCTGTAGCGAGTTATTTCTTGATGTTATTGACCTCGTCCTGTCGTGCCCACCACCTGACTGAGGTTTCTGCTGATGAGAATGTGAATATTGACTGGTTACCTGGAGGCTCTCTGCAGGTAAACTTGTGTTCAGTATAAACAAAAGCAGCGAAGCGAAGAATTGAGCTAATACACGTGGACTTGGGTTGAAGCGGATGTATATTTTCCTGTGTGGGGGGGAGGGGGACACAGAGGGTGGCTGGGTGTGTTGGGTGGAGGACACAGTGGGTGGCGGGGTGTGTTGGGTGGAGGACACAGAGGATGGCGGGGTGTGCTGGGTGGGATACACACAGGGTGGCGGCTCACATACTGACTCTAAATGTAACATTTACTCTTCAGTTAACCATTTCCACATTGTTGCCTTTGGTAGAGATCTGGAAGATTTTGTATTTTTCTCTCTTTTTTCTTTCTCTCTTTTCCGTCTCGACTGCCGAAAAATAAACACCGGAGGAGAGACCAACTTAGCAGAGACCATCACCAAGTGTTTTATATTTCAGACAGAACATTTTCCAAGCGGACGGCAGCATACAAACATCTCCAAACACAGAGTCGCTTGTTTTTCTTGCTTTAGAAAATATGTTGTGTTTGTGTCGGGAAAGGTCTGGATGTAGGAGGAAGGATCAACAACTATTTTTTTATGATTGAGATAAAACTGTATTACCATGAGCTTTGTTATTATATTTGTGTAAATTATGGTAGTAAAATATTTATATTTTTGGTATCTTCTTTATCCATAAACAGTAAATGTAATTGATAGAAAATATAGACCTAAATTAGTTCTGTAAAATATCATAATATGTGAAATTATATAATAAGATTAATTTATTCAAACAAAGCATTTATATAATAAATACATTGAAATAATTATAGTGTTTATAATGGAAAATGTGTCGAGTAAACACAACATAAACACCTGCATATGTTACCTGATGTTCGTGTGTTAATTATCGTATTTCACTTCACTTTAGACAGACGTGGAGTACATCAAGGCTATAAGACAGAGCTTCACAGAGCCATCTGACGGGAACAAGGTCATGGTGGCGGTGCTGTACAACATACAGTTCACAGTCGGTACACACACATCTATAACTTATGTGTTACAAAATGAATGTTAACATTATTACTGTGGTTAAGGTAGAAGGCAGCCACCAAACAGGGAGGTACTACCGCCTGGGAAGATATTGGAAGCACAAGGTAATGTCTAATGGTAGACCCTGCTGTCATATTTCACCACAAAAACTATGACCAAGTCCCAGGCTGCTGATTTAACTTTCTGCCTCATTTACACACAATTGCAGGGTCTCAATTGTTTATCTTGCGATTGACAACACAACATACATACAGTATATTGTTTCTCACTTTTGATCTATTTTTTTCATTTTTTTCATCATCATCATCATCATCATCATCATTATTATTAATTATTATTAATTATTATTAATTGTTATTATTATTATTATTATTATTATTATTATTATTATTATTATTATTATTATTATTATTATTATTATTATTATTATTATTATTATTATTATTATTATTATTATTATTATTATTATTATTATTATTATTATTATTACGTATCCGCCCCCCCCCCAAGCCCCGATTTGGGTCAGTGACCTGTGCCCAGGTGGGCTAATCCCATAAACAACGGAGAAATAATGGTGGTGGTGGTAATAGTGTTGTCAGTAGAGAATAATTAACAAAACATACAAGTGTTTCGTCCAGGTTCTGCTACAGATCATAACCACGGGTTATATTACCGTTCACTCGGTGTTAACATGTAAGAGCGTGTCCGTCTACTCTTTAATTTTCAGTGTCTTTAATCTTAAGTTCTCAGTTCACACCTCCAGTCATAACCCAACAGTGTATTAAACTTTTATATCAAGTGTGACCTCCCCGCCCGTCCAGGCCCGCCCGTCCAGGTGACCTCCCCGCCCGTCCAGGTGACCTCCCCGCCCGTCCAGGTGACCTCCCCCGCCCGTCCAGGTGACCTCCCGCCCGACCAGGTGACCTCCCCGTCCGTCCAGGTGACCTCCCGCCGGTACAGGTGACCTCCTCCCCGCCCGTCATGGTGACCTCCGCCCGCTCCAGGTGACCTCCCGCCCGGTCCAGGTGACCTCCCCCGCCCCGGTCGGTGGCCTCCCGCCCTCCCGGTGACCCTCTCCCCTCCAGGTATCCCCCCCTCCATATAACCCTCCCTCCGTTGCCCCCCCCCTCCAGAGTAAGCCCTCCACCCCTCCATGCCCTCCTCCCGATAACCCTCCCACTCCAGGTAGCCCTCCCCCTCCATGTAACCCCTCCCCCCCTCCAAGTAACCCTCCCCTCCCAGGTAACCCCTGCCCCCCTCAGGTAACCCTCCCCCCACTCCATATAACCCTCCCCCCTCCAGCCGAGGTGCCCCCCCCCCTCAGGTAACCCTCCCCCCTCCAGGTGACCTCCCGCCCGCTCAGGTGACCTCCAGGTCCAGGTGACCTCCCGCCCGGTCCAGGTGACCTCCCCGCCCACTCAGGTGACCCTCTCCCCTCCAGGTATCCCCCCCCTCCATATAACCCTCCTCCAGTTAA